AACTTTAAAATGTTTTATTTTTAGATTTGAAATGAGACATAAGAAAAATCGTGTTGATGACAAGGAGCTGAACAAATATTTTAGAAATGGTGAAATAATGTAGCAGCTATCTGTAATGAAAGAGTGCAAGAACAGTTTTTTTTATCTTTGGAGTGACTAAGAAACACAAGATGAGTTGCGTTCTTAATACCAGAACAAAACTTACGCCATAATTATCCTCAAAGGATCGTTATTACTGGCAGTGATATATCAAGCTTTGCTTTTGTTAGAAACCGGAAACGGACAGACCATACATGTCGACCTCCATCTTGGCTCGCCATGTCATTCACATCACAGCCTACGCTAGCTTTGTGCTGTTGGTTGCTATGGTTTCCAGATCTGTTGACTGTGGCAGAGGTAAGATATGGTAGTTTAACGTTAGCTGGTAAGTGTTTTCGTCTTTCTCTTAATCTTCGTTCTCCTCTTAGTCTTCCTCTTAGTCTTTCTCTTAGTCTTCCTCGTAGTCTTTCCCTTCGTCCTCCTCTTAGGCTTCCCCTTCTTCTTAGTCTGCCTCCTTGTCTCTTAGTCTGCCTCTCAGTCTTCCTTTTAGTCTTCCTCTTAGTCTTCCTCTTAGTCTGCCTTCCCTCTTAGTCTTCTTTAGTCTTCCTCTTAGTCCTCTTAGTCTTCCTCTTAGTCTTCCTCTTAGTCTTCCTCTTAGTATTCCTCTTAGTTTTCCTCTTAGTCTTCTTCTTATTTTTAGTCTTCGTTTTGGTCTTCCTCTTAGTCTTCCTCTTAGTCTTCCTCTTAGTCTTCCTCTTAGTCTTCCTCTTAGTCTTCCTCTTAGTCTTCCTCTTAGTCTTCCTCTTAGTCTTCCTCTTAGTCTTCCTCTTAGTCTTCCTCTTAGTCTTCCTCTTAGTCTTCCTCTTAGTCTTCCTCTTAGTCTTCCTCTTAGTCTTCTTCTTATTCTTAGTCTTTCTTCTCTTAGTCTTCCTCTTAGTCTTCCTCTTAGTCTTAGTCTTCCTCTTAGTCTTCTTCTTAGTCTTTCTCTTAGCCCTCCTCTTAATCGTTGCCAGTCGTCTTCGTTTTCGTCTTTGTCTTTTTCCTTGTCCTCACCTTCTTCTTCTTCTTCTTCTTCTTCTTCTTCTTCTTCTTCTTCTTCTTCTTCTTCTTCTTCTTCTTCTTCTTCTTCTTCTTCTTCTTCTTCTTCTTCTTCTTCTTCTTCTTCTTCTTCTTCTCTTCTTCTTCTTCTTCTTCTTCTTCTTCTTCTTCTTCTTCTTCTTCTTCGCGTTCATCGGCAGTATATTTCGACAGAAAGTTCTGATTGTTCGTCAACCTCTGGACTTTAGTCCTGTTCCCGAACCTCAGCGTTGTGTGCACATCTCTTTTATAAATCTGGCTTATCTGTATGCAGACTGTTAGTTGCCTGTCTCTCACTCAGACGCACTCCGACTTCAAAGGAAGTTCCGTTAGTCTCTTATTTTACTTTATGACGATTAAAGAGACAGTGGGTATACTCTAGCTTTTTCCCCACAGTGGAACCCCGGAACCCATAGGGGTTGTCGTCTGATTTGAGTTACTGTGTTCAAAATGTAACTTTTTTATTATTTCTTAGCGCTAAGAGCCAACGAGTTTCATTATTTCAGATATCAATGTTCTCCATTCATCATCGTGACCGCCCTTCTCTCTCCAGTTGATGATTAAGTGTTTGAGGTATTCCTGTACATTATCTCTACACTGGTTTATGTGACTTTCTCCTGGTTTACTTCCAATCAGTGGCGAGGCGTTCGTGTATTGGCAGCAATGCCCGCTTACACTTTCCATTGCCAAAGTGAAAACATAAGGTTTCCATTTGTTATTACTGTTTACTATATATTACAAATACGCCACTGAGTCCTTAAGAAAGAAAATAGGAGCTTTTTGAGATGAAAAGCTGTAGAAAGATTCTCAGAATAACATGGACAAAGAAGAAAAGAAATGCTGACATTTTAAAAGATCTGAACATCAAGAAAATTGGCTAATAAGTAGCATATTGTCATAGAAGCCAAAATATTGTGGTCATATCAAGCGCCCTGGCGGCCTGCTAAATGTAATAGTAAGGAGGCATTGTAATAGGAAGGAGGGGCAAGGGTCGACCAACACAAAGATGGGCACAGGATATAGGTGACTCATTGAATATACAAGTACACAAGGCGGAAGAGCTGGCGTGAGACCGAGTTTCTTTCGCGCAGGCTGTGATGTGAGCGACGTTCTGCAAAGGACTTGCTGCATGATGATAAATGGTAACATTTCTTGTAATTGTTCAATGTGCTGACCTGGGGGGGGGGGGGGGGGCAGCGTGGTCTCAAGGCAAGATGTCCGCCTCAAGTGCTAGAGTTTCCGTGTTCAATCCCCGGTAAGGGCTGGGATTTTTTTCACGTTGACTTGGGCTTCTAGTAATTCCCCCAGGTCTCTGGGTAGTGAGATCTGACACCCATGTGCATCGTTTGCGCACGTAAAAAATTCCCTTGACAGTTGGAAATCGAAAAGAGTATCCTAACTCCGCTGCCCGGGCAACATTTTGAGTTAACAATCTACCCAAAGTATTCCAGGATCCTCGTGCCTGTAATACAGAGACTGTGCATTGTGCTGAGCTTCTTCGGACTCAGAAGAAGAGCGGAAGACCGTGGGCCATGATGTTGATCCGTTGTTCAAAACCTCAAACCTGTGTTGACCTGTTACCGAGGTCAACCCTCGATCGCCGAGCCGTTAAGAAAGTGTACTCGTCCGTTCCAAAAGCTGTTCCAAACTTTAAAAATATGTAACTAAGAAACCGTTCGGTGTTGAAAGTTAGTTGCGTATCCTTTACAAAACATAGGGTGCTTTACTAATATCCTACCCCAGATGGCGTCACAGAACAGTCCAACATTTGAGAGGATGGTAAGACTGGGTTTCTCTGCTTTCTGATGCTTTTAACGACCCCAAAACATAAAGAACTGGCCCTAACCCCAACCCACCTACGTCCCATGAGAGAGTGCAGCCTAGGACCACGACTAGATGCAGCATATCTACCGCCCCTTGAAATGTGAGGCTGTCCCGTGACCTGTGGATTTCTCCGCTTTGGGGGTAAAATAATAAAGCACTGCACATTGCAGAACTGACTTCAGCATTTTTTTGGACTGTTTTTGTTTTTCTAGACAAATTTTACGTTTAGTAGTTTGCCATTGCTAACTAAACGGTGAGCTCTCAGTATAACTGTCAAAACCAACACAAGACGGTCTGCTGTCAAATCGCCTGTAGCTGGGATCGAAGCAGGTACTCCGGCATTACGAAACGCGTTCGCTACGCCGAAGCCGACAAATGGTGTAGGTTTTTAAATCTGGCATGCAACCTGTTAATAATATGTCCTTGTTAGAAATTGTCGGCGTCTGTGGGTTAGGCGTTGACGAACGCGCTTCGTAATGCTGTAATGTGCCGGGTTCGTTGCCTATCTGCGGGCCTTACGCCTTTTGTTGGTTTCGACAGTGGTATCAAGAAGCCGACTGTCTAGAAAGCAATGGCAAACTACTGGATGTAAACTTGCATAGAAAAACAACAGATGCTGGAGTTGGTTCTGCAACGTCCTGTAAAGCAAATGCAACTAACTTTTGTAAGAAATTGTTTTAAGGTAAGCAAACATCTATTTTTTATTCTGCCTTATTTACGGTAGATTCTTCATCTTCTTCTTCGCGTTCACCGGCTGTAAACTCCGGCGGAAGGTTTCTGGTTGTTCGTCCACCTTTGGACTGCAGTCCTGTTCCAGAACCTGAGTGCTGCGTGTGCATCTATTTGACAGATGTGACTAATTTGTAGGCAAACTGTTGGTTCCTTGCCTCTCAGTCACATGCACTCCGACTTCGAAGGAAGCTCCCAGTTAGTCGACTCTTTCTACATGCTTTTGGGTAAGCAGTGGGTCTATTCTTGTTTCACTATAATAGGGCCCTAGAACCCAACACCGAGATATTTACAGTATATGAAGCAACAGGTACCGATTGAAAGCAAATTATCATTATGCTTACAGTTAACTCAGTAACGGGAACTTTTTAAAAGATCAAATTGCACGTGTTTCATAGATTTTTCACTCGCATGTGGTCATCTCCATCACTTGTTTCCCGTGCGATACAGGAACACAGTTTTCATTGTATGCGTGATAGGCTATCAAAATAAGCACCACCCATCACTGCATATGTGAACAATGTTCAAACAAAGATCAAAGAATTTTGCCTCTTTAAGAAAACAGCAGCACCTATGTCATTGTATATTATAAAATCATGAGGACATGGAAAATCTAAGGCCGCATGCAAAAGTCATGTCAATTGTTAAAGTGTGAGGGTACGAATTTTGAAACACACTATAACTACTGTATTAAAACGACTTTCCTATTTGTACATTTTCATATCCAAAAATCTGCATAGGTATGTTTCACAGGAGTTCGTATTGTACTGATGAAGGCTCTTTAGCCTCAACGCTCACTTGTCGCTTTAGTTTGTGATAATGTGAAGCTGACTGGTTCTATTTTTCAGTTTTTTTCACTTTGCAACGCTTTTTCCTCTGTCCAAAAGTCACTAGAACTGTCTATGTTGCTGTGTATTCTTCTACCGTAGGCAGTCTTTAACTATGTTTATAATCATAAAATCTAAACCTCTCTCCTCTGTCTAAGATTTCTATTCTAGGACTGAAGTTAACGGACAACCTTATCTCATCATCCTAAATTCTGTCTGAATAATCGGCTGTGCTTTGGTCTGAGGTAAATTTACTTCTCTGGAACTGCCCATCTTCAAAATCTTCGACTCTTTCTTTCACTGGATGGTACAGAAATATTTTTGTATTGAAATATCGCTTTAGTAAATCTAGGGTAGTTTAGTTTGCAAAATCAATGTTCCTCCCCCATCCCCGTTTTTTTTTTCTTGCCGTTCCACAATGTTGGAATCGCTCGTTTTTTTTTTTTTTTTTTATTCAGAGTCCCACATTGTGTACCCTTCTTGAGTTTTATAATTTTGTTTCAGCTGTACAACTCACTTCAGCTTCCCTGTTTTCATAGACCTTACTTGGAGCGAAGTATTCCTTCCGGTCACGGGTAGTGAGCATACTTTGGATCTTTTCTCCAGGTTATGCCGGCCTGGTGGGTAATGAAAAAGCAGACAAATTGGCTGGATCTGCCCCACTGATGAATTGATACATGACAAGGCAGATGTGGTCAAGGCCCTTTGGGAGCAAGCAACGAAATCGGTAAAGATAGAAGATTATTATGGCCTGGAGAGAATGAGGCGTTTGGGTGTAACTACAATGTCTGGCCGGTTCACTACACTCAGAGGACAGGCAAGACGGACATATAACCAGGTTGTGATCGGTACCATCAGTATTGGAACTCTTTGCTGGCTGCTGAAGATGAGGACAGGAGCATGCATGGAAATGTCCCGAGTGCTGTGATGTCAATTCTTGACTCTCAACTCAACTCAACTCTTTCCGTTGCTCCCTAACAAACTATGCAAGACGGTGTATTCCTCAAGGCTAATTTTGCTCTGCTAACTACTAAAGCAACTACAACGGCTGCCTAATTAAACCATTAGGCAAACAATTAAAGCACGACTTCTTCTATTCCTCAAAAATCCAACAAGTACAGAAACTATACGCTTTACGCATATGCAGTACAATACAACATTGCCACGCAAATCAAAAACAAATGATGTAGCTTCAAGTTCTAGGTCAATGAACTCTTTGAATACAAAACGGATTTACAGGAAGTGCTCACATGTAGACATGTCCAATGAGGAAAAACTGCGATATTATTACTTTTAAAGATGCTAAATATTGAGAAAAGAAGTTCTCCTTAGTATGCACTTGTCAAATATAAAACAAAATATTAAAATATAAGAACATATTACATGTTGCCCTGAATCACTTAATCATGCATCATACGTTTGTTTGGGTCTGCAAGAATTAACAGTAACCTTGCTGAATATTTTTCTCCAAATGTGTCGTCACCACTTGTTATCACTAGCCAGCATTCTGTTAACTGGAAATAGTATTGATTTTGACACGTCATTATCAATTAAGGGGCTCCCTGTGATTAAGCCGGACACCATTTTAGATGGGAAAAGAACAGACCCATTGCAACTTAACAAGCATGTCACTGAATAAAAAGAAAGTAATGAACACATTTTAAGCCATTACCGAGGAAGAAGATGAGGAGGACGAGGCCCAGAACGAAGACGATGATGACAACGAAGAAGAAGAAGCAAGAACGAAGCCAGGCAAAAAGCAGAAAGAAGCCAGAAAAATACCAGGAAAAAAAAACTAGAAAAAAAGCATTTAATAAAAGAAAAAAAACAAAAAAAAAAAATAAGAAAGAAAGAAAGAAAGAAAGAAAGAAAGAAAGAAAGAAAGAAAGAAAGAAAGAAAGAAAGAAAGAAAGAAAGAAAGAAAAGAAAGAAAGAAAGAAAGCTAGAAAGAAAGCTAGAAAGAAAGAAAGAAAGAAAAGAAAGAAAGAAAGAAAGAAAAGAAAGAAAGAAAAGAAAGGGAAAGAAAGAAAGAAAGAAAGAAAGAAAGAAAATAAAGAAAGAAATAAAGAAAAAAAAGAAAGAAAGAAGAAAGCAAGAAAGAAAGAAAGAAAGAAAGAAAGAAAGAAAGAAAGAAAGAAAGAAAGAAAGAAAGAAAGAAAGAAAGAAAGAATGAGAAAGAAAGAAAGAAAGAAAAAAGAAAAAAGAAAGAAAAAAGAAAGAAAAAAGAAAGAAGAAGAAAGAAAGGAGAAGAAAGAAAGAAAGAAAAAAGAAAGAAAGAAAAAGAAAGAAAAGAAAGAAAGAAAGAAAAAGAAAGAAAGAAAGAAAAGAAAGAAAGAAATGAAGAAAGAAAGAAAAAGAAAGAAAGAAGAAAGAAAGAAAGAAAGAAAGAAAGAAAGAAAGAAAGAAAGTACAGAAAGAAACTGAAAGAAAGAAAGTAAGAAAGAAAAGAAAGAAAGAAAGAAAGAGAGAAAGAAAGAAAGAAAAGAAAGAAGAAAGACAAGAAAAAGAAAGAAAGAAAGAAAGAAAGAAAGAAAGAAAGAAAGAAAGAAAGAAAGAAAGAAAGAAAGAAAGAAAGAAAGAAAGAAAGAAAGAAAGAAAGAAAGAAAGAAAGAAAGAAAGAGAAGTAGTTATTTGCTCGTGTGTATGACGCTTTCTATATAATTATTATTATTAGTATTATTATTGTGGTATGGGTTATCGTGTAATCATCCGACCACATCATTTGTTTAATTGCATTTCTTTGTAGAACTCTGGAATTTTTATTATCTATGCTTGATTGCTTTCATGTGCATGATACAACTGATTTATTTATTATTTCGCTTAAATAGGCATCTTTCTTATTATCGTTCATTTGTAATTCTCCTTTTGTATAAAAGTATCGCTGCAATGCGCCGTTTTTCTGTTGGCGGATACACGTGCCGTAGTTTGCAATTACATAGTCTAACTTTAAAAGCATTGCTTCCCAAACTGTACACTTTAAAAAAAATCAGATTCCTCTTCTCACCCTCTCTCTCACTCATCCACTCACTCACTCACTCTCTTGACTGACTGACTGACTCGCCTCTCACTATCTAATCTATCTAATCTATCTAATCTGTCTAATCTATCCATTCTGTCCAATCTGTCTAATTTGTCTAATCTGTCTAATCTGTCTTGTCTGTATCGTCTGCCTCTAGAAATATCTTCATCATCACACAGAAAGCTGATCAGCATAGGCGGTCACGATTCGCCATCCTTTAAAACCAACAGAATCACGGATCGCATCAACGCTCTCATTCCGCCAAAACGCGTGGGGCCAAGCCATCAATGCATTTATGTCTTTGTTTGTCCCTTGCCCTCTTTCTTGCTAGTTGTCACCAGTTTTCGAGTCTTTTTCTTGCCTTGAAAGATACCTTGCGTGTTATGCTTACCTGGTACATCTACGACTGCGGAAGATGTTCTTCTTTCCTTCTTCTCGTCGACGGATCAACTTCATAGCGCACAGGTGTAACCCATAAGTGCTCCGTTCTACTTCTAACTCAAGCCTTAGTCTGAAGAATCTCAGCGCAGTTCACAAACTCCGTTGCACCGACGAGGATCTTGATATACTTTTGGGTAGATTTTCAACTCCAAATTTTCCCCGGGCAAGCAATAAAGGGCAGCGCCGTTTTCGATTTCCAACTGCCAGGGTATTTTTTTCCACGTACGGAACAATACACAGGGGCGTCCGGTCTTAATACCCCAGAGACCAGGGGAAATTACTAAAAGACCACGCGAAAAAAAGCCCACCCTCCACTGGTGTTTGAACCCTAGACCTCCAGCACTCGAGGCGCTTGCCATACCTAGAGACCACTCAGCCTTCTCAGAGGGTATAACCTATCGCTTCGAAAAATAAAGGATGCCAACAACAATCCCGGAAGGGTGGTAGAGGGTTAATTTTAGACAAGTGAAACCACAGTTTGGAATGGGAAGAGGAGTTAAAGAAATGTATACATAAAGAGATCGAGGAGCGGCTTGATGAACGGTTAGAATGTTGGTATCTCATGCGGGAGACTCGGGTTCAAATCCTCGGTAACGCTGGGGATTTTTTATCTGTCGAGGGCAAAATTAAATCCTCACCTGCACAGTCGTGGCGACAGCACTAGCCATGCGGTCTTAAATCCTCAGGCTGAAAAGATCCCCCTGCCTACACCGCAGAAAAGGTATATAAAGGCAGTAATAGGCAGTTACTTTGTGTATACATATATAGATCAGTTTAAATGAGAGGACACATTCTGTTCACACCCATTGATGCATGCTGAAGAAAATATTCAATACAATCTCTATCTCCCATTTATTCTTGCAGGTAAATGTCCTTTTGGGAAATTCGGTCGGCAGTGCCGACTCACTTGCCATTGCAAAGATGACGTTGATTGTGATGACGTAGGTGGGTCATGTCCGGGACCCTGTTCTGAAGGGTGGTCTGGACCCAGCTGTCAGCGCGGTAAGTATTTCCATGTTTGACTCAAGTAGGGTCAACTGGAAGTGGCAGCGAGGTTATTATGTAGACGAATGATGAGAATACCGTCGGGAGATAAAAAGGCTAATGGAGATGTCTTGAAAGAAATCGACCAAAGAAGAGACCTGATTGCCCTCATCAGAAGGAGACAATCTACAGGAGAAGACTGGAGTGGGTCGTGACGGGGTGAAAGTTTGAAAAGGGGGAGGGTGAGGCAGGGGGAGAGGGAGATCGAGAGAGAAGGTGCTGGACAGTTTGATACCGAGGCATAGAAGATAATGTGTATCAGAACTGAATGAAAGTGCACGCGACAGAGGGCTGTGGATAGATATAACTATCAACGACTAAAGGAGTTAATGGAGTCCAAGTATAGACGCACCAGAAGTTGTCTAACATGCCAATTAGGACAAGATGCATGTAAATGTAAGCTTCATTGACTGCATCCTGCTGAAATCTGACTGACTGGATCCCATTCATGCCTAATAGACTAGACCCGCTCATGTTCGGGAAACTGGATCAAGCGCCGCATCTCTCGCTAAAACATTGACCTAAACACAATTTCTCTAATGAGCTGTATCCGTCGGCGACATGGCCAGACGCTGCTTCTTCATCCATGAATCATTCCATTCATTGCTGCTCTTTCGCTGTGTTTAATTAGGCCAAATTATTGAAGCCTTGGAAATACATTTGTATAATGTTGTTTACGAACGAGCTTTTTCCATAATCTGATTATGTATGACGATTGCATTTACTTTCTTTTCTTTGTTTCCTTCCTGCGTATTTCACTGCTGAGAATCAAATGGCCTAGTCAGACAAAATAAAGCCAAGAAATTAAGTGTTGGTTTTTGATGACCTGTCGCCAACCCTTCTCTGCATATTTTTATTTGTGTACCAGTTTATAGCTTTCCTTCTTTTGCGTTTGCTTCTAAAATAGTAGTTGGTACTCTGTATTGTGATTTGCAGCTAGGCTGCAGGAAGTAAACACACACACACACACACATACACACACTAATTCATTCATAAATATATCCAAATATGCTGTATTATTTCTATCATCATCCTTCCATGTGTCATTAGATGTCACGTAGGGCTCGCATTCGATTCCTCCACTCGGCTCTATTGCATGCAACTCTCACACTTTCCGACGTGTTCAGCCCAGGAAACCTCTCGTAATAATGTTTTTTTCTAATGTTCCCCTTGAAGGTCCTCTTTCTCTCAGTGTGTTAGTTTTTCATTTGAGTTCTTGTTTTGTGATTCTTTGCTCATTTCGTCTCAGAGTCTGCCTACTGTATCTCCACCACAGGTATTTGTCCAGACATTCCTCTGATCTCCCCACTCTTTTTTGAAATCATCCTATTTTATGTTGCTGTATAAGTTGGAACTCAATATTTTTTTAAGTCTTTTAACAACTGTTGTTGCTCTGACAAGGCGTTTCCTAATTTCCTTCGTTGCATCTCCTTGAGTATCAAAATTGCTACCCAAATAGGTGAAATGATAGTCTACTTTCATTGGTTTCTTCTCTAGCATGACATATGTATTCTCTGTTGTTGGTATCTTTAATATATTCGTTTTCACATAACTTATTTGTTGTCTTATTCTGATACTGTAGCATAACTCGGCTTTATAATGCCGGGATGCCGGGTTCGATCTCAGCTGCGGGCCATGCGCCTTGCGTTGGTTTCGACAGTGGTATCAAGAAAGCCGACCGTCCAGTAAACAATGGCAAACTACTGGACATAAATTTGCCTAGAAAAACCACACAACAGCCAGGGGCTGTTAGGGTTGGTTCTGCAACTTTCTGTAAAGGATACGCAACTAACCTGTACATAACTGTGAACCCCTTCAATTAGTTGTATATCTACGCTGTTTGTCTCAATCTCTTTTCGTTACAGTGTGTTATGCTCATTGCACTGATTGTTGACAAAGGCCTTATCTTTTAGCATTCGGAGTTCTTTGAATAGTGCACAAGCAGACATCTCAAGTATCAAATTAAAATAATCTCAGCCACATTAAAACTCAGTTTTTGTTCTCGCATTCTGGATAAAACTGGCCGGGCTCAGAATCTGTCAGGATTGCTGAGATACCTGTCACTCAATGATCCCTCAGATTGGGTTTTATTTGCCGGAGCACGTGAAAACCATGTGAAAACCATGTGGCTATACAGGGGAGAAAAGATGCGATTGTCATCAACCACTTCCACAACGGGATAATTAAATGTGAATCTTGGAGAACAACAACTGACGTCAGAGTGACATGTCTGGGATCCGTTCGGCAACCAGCGAACTTTTGTCGTGACTCATGGCTCGTTCGAGGTTAGAGTGTTTCGGTGAGAGGTTTCAATTAACATGAAATGTAAAACATGTTTTTTGAGACTTCTTCTCTTGAGATGTTAATTCAGTTAAACGATGTAGTTTTATAATGATAACGCCATGAGTAAAAACATCGGACGACAAGAAATGGGCAGATTCATACACGTTTTCAGGGGCGGTGTTGATCAATTGTGTTCAAGGTTAACATACCTGCCTACGCTTTTTGATGGCTTTTAGCATACTGTGCGTAATTACATGACAGTTCCTTTTTGTTCAATTTACCCTCATTGCACTAAATGTGTCTTCTGCTCGACAAATCCTCAAACGTTACGACTGGCAGCCGCCATGGTGAAGCGGCTAGACAACTTGCATGCGGAGCTTAAGGTAGTGGGTTCATGTCCTGACAGAGACGGACATTTTCCAAAAATTACCATGGCTTAATATAGAATTAGACATAGCCTTAAATGGGAAGTAGGTGAAGTTCTGTGAAGTAAAGGGGGCCGGCGTGATGTTGACCATCTAACCCACCGAGTGCCGAGTGGTCTCTAAATATAGATCTAGCCCTATACGCCGAATAAACCTGAAGTGTTAGAAAAAGGTCCTTCAGCTTACTTAGAACGACTGTGTTTTCCAACTGGTTCTTTAGCACAATATCGGCTTTTTTTTTCTGCATCTGTTTTCGCCCTAAAAATGTCGGTGGGCACGTTATCTTTTGATTCTCTTTTTTTATGATTTAAAAAAAAAATAATTTTTTTCGGGTGGTAAACCCTGAGGTAATATCCTGAAATGGGACAAAGTCATCAATCGATCGAAAAATAAAATTAAATCAGTCAATCAATCAAATAACCCCTCTGCTGTCTTCGCAGTGATAGATGGCTGCAACACACCGTCTCTTGTCTTGGTTTTACACTCTGGCACATTATTTTCGCCCATCACTCACTGTTGTCCTCCCACTTCTATACTATTCACACACATAAAATATACAAGTCCGAGGGCGGTTTACTACTCAAAAATTTATAAATTACACCCCCAAAAAAAAAATATGAACGAAACTTTATGCGTCCAAACGTCGGACGCAATTTTGTTGTAAAGCCACACTCATTGTGTTGTCAGGGGCCCTAATATAATCCAATGTATGGTTTAAACGGGGTTTTTGGGACCTCTCCACGAGTAATCCTCATCCGAATGCTGGCACTTTGTGTCACCGGACGTTTCTCGCTCAATGTGATGTCTCGGTGGGACTGAGCATCAGACAGTCAAAAATAAACGCACAGCTACTGAAAGAAACACAGTTTTGTCCTAATTTTGACATTCAAAATGTGTGCAATTTAATGAGTAAAACTGTTCAAATTTGCAAACAAGAATACGTTATGGTTCAGCGATTAAAAAATTGACAGTTTTTTTTTTTTTTGCATCTGCGTCTTCGATACAACGCGTTTTTGTTTTTTTTTTTATTTATTTATTTTTTTTTTTTTAATTTTAATTTTCTGTTTGATTGTAAATTGTTAAAGAGTTAATTTCTCTTAACATGGCCCTATATATACATGTGTCAGCATCTTGCTTTAACGCAGCGGTTCTCAACCTGTTGGTCGCAAACCTTTTGTATGTCGAACGACCCTTTCACAGGCGTCGCCAAGGACCATCGGAAACACATATTCAATGAAGTTATGAATTAGCAACGAAAACTGTATGGTTGGGGGTTTCCACAACATTAGGAACTGTATTAAAAGGTCGCGGTATTGGGTATTTTGTGAACCACTGTTCTCAGGGATGTGTCCCTACGCAGTAGACTCTAACGAATGCTGTGTCACATACTTGCTCTAACCGATGTCATTACTGCATTGCTCACAAGAGAACGTGGTACTCGGCATGCCCACCGACATGAAGACTTCAGACTGGTCAAAGGGAGCCCGGGCAGTTGACGGGGACGTGAAAACCTGCGTGACCTCAACCAGCAACAGGACCGGTTGGTGGCGAGTGGACTTGCATGAGCAGAAAGCCCTTTTCTTCATGGAGATTCTCTTCGGTAAAATTGAGTTGATTAATTGTATGTGTGTGTAAGGTCAAGGTAAAGGTGAGAGAATCGACTTTATTGCACCAGGTTATATCCCATATGGCTCAGTCTCTCTCCGTAGAACAGCACGACCTCCGTAGCCCCAGCAACAATCCCCTTGTGAACTGAACGGTGCCGCCATGAAACGAATCCATAGTCTTCAGAGCTTGAGACAAACGGCTTGACCACTTCGCCACTGTGTGTGTTTGTGTTTGGGGAAGGGGGTGGATGAACTAAAAGTAAATTAAAAGATCTGTCCATGCCATTGGCGTATCGAGCATTTGACGTTAGACCCTTATCTTATTTCATTTTCAATAGACTAATCGCCTTATATGGAAAACTGTGATCATTGCTGGAGCTACGCAGTTGGTGTTTTGTGGGACGCTCTCGGTAGGCGGCTAGCTGTTTTGTGGAGAGAGAACGAGCCATACGGGATCAACCCAGTGCAATAAATAAAATTCCTTAGACTTAGATGGTTGCACGGAGCTGACCTTCCTGGTAAGACTGAGACAGCTCACAGGACCACTTGTTGAGTTTCGAAGTTTAATAATGATCGTTGTTGAACCCAAGTGACGCAGTGTGGGTTTTAGGGTCCCTGTCAGATCTGTACAAACCGATGC